GGATGGCGCTGGATTGTGAAATGAAGTCCAGCAGGTGGGGCTGTCCTGTGTGAGTTTCAAGAGATTGCTTCTCACAGATGTGGAGCAGCTCTCTTCTTTCTTGCTTCTGAGGCTACATCTACAGCTTCCCACTCCCTTTCCCTTTCCCACACTGAACTGTGAAGGATTCCTGGACAAAGGTGTTATTGTCTCTCCTACAGTGGAAACCCCGACATGCTGGAGGGCAGGACCGATGGATGATGTGCATCACTCATGCATTGGTAGATAACTGTACAATTGAACACAGCTTATGCTAATAGTGTTAATTCCTGGCTTGCTCCTCTTGGGGTCTGATTTTCCTGGAAGCGTTGTCATTGCCTTGCCCTCTAGTAGCTGAAGACTTGAGGGATATTAATGCTGGAGCCGCCATGAGCTTATGGACATTCTCCTTTAGCTCAACACTGGATCCACAGTTCAACTCCCAGCAGGGACAAATTCTTTCCCACCTCACTGACCGATATTATCCTGCGCTGCTGACTTCCAGTGAATGCCCCTCTTGGCCCAATGAAGATTCTGACTTAGTGGCTGGCAAACTACTGTAACCCACAAAAGCCAACCCATTCCATGCCATTGTTGGTGATGGGCAAGCCATGTGTCACTGTATGAAGCTAGCTGGAGAGACCCTCTAGAGTGGTTGCCTCTCTGATCATCATCAGAGTTTAGGCAAATGTTGTCGGGAACCACCAGAGACAATTATCCTCTGCCCTGTCATTTCACAGCATTTCCTTGGCAGGGAGGGAGAAGGCCATATTATGCAAAGACACTCATACAAGCTAAATAGAGCACTTCATTATTTAAACTTGTGTCAGATGGCAGCAACTCATGCTCTAATCTGGCACAGCGCTGGTGAACGTGGCATAGTTATATATTCCCGGGACTTCCATTAAAGAGACAGTGCCAACTCAATTAGGCCCCAGATTTAGGGGCAGTAAAAGCAATGTTTGACGTGGCTTGAGCCCAGTAGAAATGCTTCCAATCATGTATATTTTTAGAAGAAGCAGATTTATTTGGTGTGGACTGAAATGTTCCCGTGCAGCGGTTGCAACCTGAATCCAGTGTTGTGCTAGTGTGTGTGAGAGCCAGATCGTCACACTGAACCTGACCAGGAACAAATACACATGTCCAACTAGTCTATTTGCACTGCCCAGCTCCAGCGAGGAGCACAAAGTAACTCACCCGGGTCCGTGGGGGAAAGCAAGTGAGAGTCTGTAATGTTTGGGTCATAACCCAGCTAAGCACTTTTTTGTTTCAAACATGATGTAAAGCCCAAGTGTCCCTGTTCAGAAAGGGGGCGTTAAGTCATGGCCAGCAAACACAGGGGCATCTGTGAGGATGGCAGTCCAGCGTGGGGGAAGGCCAATGCCTGTCCCATAGAAGGCCAGGCAGCTGGAGGCTCCAGAAGGCATAAGAGCCCAGATCCTCAAAGGAATTTAGTCTCCTCACTTCCATTGAGTTCACTGGAATACTTTTCAGGCTCTGGGCCAAGGAGCTTGCCCCTCACACCCTGTGTGATTCTTGTGAGGGCCAAGGGTAACTGCACAGTGCAGAGAGCGAGGGCCGCAGCCACCCCATTGTCCCTGATGCTGCATAGTGCCTCAAACAGAGCAGATGGCAGTGCAGCTATGGCCTCCCCACCCCTGCATGGCACCCTGGAGTAGGACTGGCACCACCAGTGGAGTAAGATGTTGTACCCCTACTGGATCCTGCTCCTTCCCCTTATGTGCTGGGAAGTTCTGAGAGGCATCCTGAAAAATACCTGCCAGGGATCCTACAACATACTGCCAGTGCAGCTCTGGGCCATGGGCTGTGCCTTAAAGAGCAGGGTATGCTCCTTCAGCTTGATGGCTCAGGAGATTGGCAATGGGCTACCGAGGATTTCAGCTCTACGCCACGTTTCAAATCCCAGCCCAGTTCTGTAGCAACTGACGGTTGTTACCAGCCCGCTGTGCTTCAAGGGCCTCTCTGAAATCCCTCAATAGCGAGGAGAGTTAACGGACTGGCACAAATAAAATAGGCCAGTGCTGAGGTGTTAGCACTCCAGTCCACTAGACCCTCACACCAACTCCCTGCAGCATAAAGGGAGGGAATAGGCAGGAGCTCATTAGCAGGGTGTGTGAATGAACGTGTAGCATCAATGGGCAAGCCATGAGCATGTGAGCCCCAGCCACTCAGTCATTCACAAAGAACCAGCTTAGCTATTATCCTGTGGCTCGGAGGGATCTGCACACTCTGGAGACAATGCAGAGAAAAGCCCCAGATTCCCTAGCTAGAGCAGCTCAGCTTTAAATGATCTTATACACTTTGTTCTGACAGCGCCTGGTTCTACTCTGAAAAGGGACTGTGTCCAAATAGCACCGTCTTACTGAAATACCAGCTCCCCATATGAGCCTGGCATCAGCTCTGCCAGTGTCAGCAGAGACAGAAATGCGATGTCACTGCTTTTCATTCCTGTTAGTGGGGCTGGTTGGCTCATAGTTAGAAATAAACTTGGAAACAGAGCCCATTTGATCTGGGATCCCTGGGAGCCAATATCCAGGGACCCAGGCCAGTCAGAATCACTTATCACAGTCAAGCCAGACTATTTGAAACCCCCTTACCATCTAGAATGTGTCCAAAACCTGCCAAGCACCTAGAGCAGGAGTGGCCAATCTGTGGCTCCAGCACCACATGCGGCTCTTCAGAAGTTAATATGCGGCTCCTTGTATAGACACTGACTCCGGGGCTGGAGCTACAGGCGCCAACTTTCCAATGTGCCAGGGGGTGCTCACTGCTCAACCCCTGGCTCTGCCACAGGCCCTGCCCCCACTCCACCCCTTCCAGCCCCCTCCCCTCAGCCTGCCATGCCCTCGCTCCTCTCCCACCTGTCCCGATCCTCCTGCATGCCACGAAACAGCTGATCAGGAGGTGCAAGGAGAGAGGGGGAGGCGCTGATCGGAGGGGCTGCTGGTGGATGGGAGGTGCTGGGAGTGGAGCGGGGCAGCTGATGGGGGGGCTGCTGATGTATTACTGTGGCTCTTTGGCAGGGCCGACGCAACCCATTAGGAGACCTAGGCAGTCGTCTAGGGTGCTAATATTTGGGGGGCAGTGACTGCGGCGGCCAGATCTTCGGCCGCCCCGGTCGGCGGCGGTATTTCGGGGCCGGGACCTTTTGCTGCCTAGGGCAGCAAAAAAGCTAGCAGCGCTCCTGCTCTTTGGCAATGTATATTGGTAAATTCTGGCTCTTTCTCAGGCTCAGGTTGGCCACCCCTGACCAGGGGCGGCTCCAGGCACCAGCGCAGCAAGCGCGTGCCTGGGGCGGCAAGCCACGGGAGGCAGCCTGCTGGTCGCTGTGAGGGCGGCAGTCAGGCGGCCTTCGGCGGCATGCCTGCAGGAGGTCCGCCGGTGCTGCACCTTCAGCCTCCCCGCTGCCAAATTACTGCCCAAGCCGCGGG